TAGATAGATAGATAGATGGTAGGTAGATAGATAGATAGATAGATAGATAGATAGATAGATAGATAGATAGATAGATAGATAGATAGATAGATGCAAAAAAACCCATGAAGAGTGCTTGGTGTTCACTTTTTTTAACCAAATTATATAAAGATGATTTGATGATATATCAATCATCTAAACTTCCACTTAAGAAGTTAAACCCAAATATTACAAAAATACATTCAGAAATCAAAGAAATATATAATATGGAAACCCTAGAAAGCAAATTGCTGGCTTTTTTGAAGACACTAATAATGGTATAGATGCAACTTCAATGATGATCCCAACCACCATAAACAGACCGGATCCAATGACAACTTGGTGAGACTGATTTGATAGTACAAATCACTGGGGGTAACTATAGGCTAAGAACACTCATCATCCTTTGTGTTGGTGGAGGGCAGGAATGAACTTAGATCCCACCCTCATAGAGTAATAAGGCCCCAGGTGTATGTGGTAGCTCAACCTGTAATCTCAACATTCAATAGGCAGAGGCAGAAGTATTGCCCAAAAGTTCAAGACCAGCCTGAACTAAACAGTAAGTTTCAAGTCAGCCAGGACTGTATAGCAAGACTCTGTCTCAAAGGAAAAGAAGTTCTAGATCAATTTAAGTTAAAATATGGTATTTGAATCAGGATCGTGGATGCAGTTCAATGGTAGAGCTCTTGCCTATCATGTACAAGACCCTAGGACACCCCAACTTCAAAATAAATAAACAAACATCTCAAAGGAGAAAATAGATTATGATCTTGGAGTAGGAAATGATTTCTGAAATAAAGCAAAAACAATATGAAAAAATACTAAATTTAAAGTAACTTCTGCTAAAGATGCCATTGAAAGAAAGAAAAAGAGCCAAATATGGTAGCACAGGCCTCTAATCCCAGCACTTGGGAGGCAGAGGCAGGTGAATTTTTATGGGTTAGAAGCCATCCTGATCTACATAGTGAGCTCTAAGGCCTTCCAGGGCTACATAGTTAACCCTATCTCAAAAAATAATATTAAATTCAAAATTTAAAAAGAAATGCTACTAGGTAGGCAGCGGTGGCACATGCCTTTAACCCCATCACTCAGAAGGCAGAGGCAGTCAGATCTCTGTGAGTTCAAGGCCAGCCTGGTCTACAGAGTAAGTTACAGGACATCAAAGGCTGCACTGAGAAACCCTGTTTTGAACCCCATCCCCTCGAAAAAAATTAATGCTACTGGGTTGTTTTTAAGGATTTCAAAACAAAATGTTGCTTAAATATGGGCAAAATAATCAAGAAATGTGTGAAGAAATATTAGGCTTCATCAATAAATAGTGCAACTTAATACCTCTTTGAAAAACTGCTAAACATCAGAAATTAAACATCCCAAAGTTCAACTTGTAGCACATAGCATGAATGTACAAAATGTACAAGGTAAGGATGCCTATATTGACATAATCATTTGGGAAAATAATATATGATCTAGGCAATAGAACTAGCATTCAGCAATTCTAATCCTAAGTATTATATCCTAGAAAGCAACGGCATAAACTTAGCAGATCATGTATTGGCATAGAGTTATAATACCTTTAAGTTGCAGAAGATAAGAAATGATACAAATGACCACCAATGAGTACAATGAGTACCAATCCAGCACAGAAGAGGGGAACTTGGTGGCCAGAAGTGGAGCATGGAGGCAGGGGGTGGGGAGGGCTTCACCAAGAGACCATGAGCAGACAGATGCAAGTCACACTTTACATGTTTGTATTTCCAAGACTCGGGCTGGCTTGGAGTGAGGCACTGCCCTTGGCCATCTAGGCCACTGATCTTCCACCACCTCACCAGCTTCTCCATCTTCTGCTGTCTCCTCTCCACGTTTTCTCCTACATGCCAGCTTACGTTCTATACTGCTTAGACAACTTATGATACCCATGCCTTTTAAGTGAGATGTTACACCTGTAACAGTTCTCCTAAAACAAACACTAGGACTGTGGGAAGTACCCTATGCCTAAGCTCACTCCTTCTCATGTTTAAGAACAGCCAAGGTGAGTGAGACTGAACCAAATGCTCTGGCATAATTCAACCCTGCCTCTCATACTGCTGGCCTGTCCCCCCAGTGTCCTGAACCAGAAGAGCAAGCATAGGCCAGAGGCATCTGGCCTGTATCTCTTACTGGGTACCAGAAGTCCCAGGGAATCTGGGAGCCTCAGCACTGAGGGGAGAAAGAAGGTTCACCTGAACAAGGCTATCCCTATAGCCTTGGTTCTTCAGCAGCATGTTGTTCCGCCACTGCAGGTACTTTTCCTGGTGGGTCTGGATGTCCCCTGGGAGGGTAGAAGCCTGACGCTGGACATTCTCTTCATTGGGAGTGGGCTGGGGTAATGTGGCCAACAGCTTTCCATTTGTGAGTTCTTCCTGGGAAACAGGTATCCCAAACTCTTGGCTCAGGTCTTTAACCATGGAGGAGGAAGGCAGCAGGTCTCTCATAATCACTTCCTTGAGTCTGGTGCTGTTGTGGCAGATGTCATGGATCCTGAAATGAAGAACGGCCAGCCATTCAGCCTCACCTGCATAATCATCCACATTTCATAGCAGAAATGGAAATTCGGGTTGGCCAGGGTGCCGGGTCAGAGCTGGTTTAGTTAGCTAAGCTGGTCTCCTGACGTGTGCTCCTTTCTCCTTTCCTCCAAGCCTACTAAATTTAGGGGCTGCCCACCATATGCACTGAGTGTTTTTCTGTGACTGTGGCTTTATCCATGGTCTTCACCAGTCCCACACCACACTAGGGAGCCACCCCAACATGCTAGTTAGACCTCAGCAGGTGGATGTCAGGGTCCTCCTGCACTAGAGTGGAAGATGTGATCACAGCTCACTCCTGCACAGAACTGAGACCTGAGAAGCAGTACTACCTCTCCAGGCCCAGGACTTCCTGTTGGTAGCAGTGGGCCACACCTATGTTGCCCTGCAGTGGACCTAGGATCCACACTGGCACTGTCTGGGAACTTCTGTGTGCTACTCCATGCCCCCACTGTTTCCCAACTCTGAAATGAGGTATGTGCCTGAATCTGTGGACCCGTCCCTTACTTAGCCTTTCTGGATATCTGCTTCCTCAACCATCAGAAACAAAGCAGAGACACAGTCACTGTGGTTACAGCACTGCATTGGTCACTTTTCTTGTTGCTGTTGTCAAATACTTAATAAGAAGCAACTTAAAAGCAGGGGATTTGGTTTGGCTTTCAGTTTGAGGGGATATGGTCCCTTATAGCTGAGAAGGCATGGACAGTAGGAGTGTAAGGTGGTCAAGCTGCATTCACAGGCAGGACACAGAGGAAATGGACGTTGGCATAAGCCTTCTCTCTCTCTCTCTCTCTCTCTCTCTCTCTCTCTCTCTCTCTCT